AATCCCTATACATCCAAAAGAAGAAACCCGAGTTTAACACCAACACAACCTTTCAATTGTTAACAGTATAGCCCAACCACCATAATGAGCACTTCACACCTGTTTATTGGTTTGTTCTCACCCTTACCCATATTTTGTATTTTTTCAAAATGATTAAGACCTTTTCATTTTAGTTCATTTCTGTTACCCCATTATCATTTTTCCCCGTATCTCTCATTGTACACTACGACGCTACTACCAATCACTAAGCTACTGACTAAAACCCTACTATATATACACTATACAAACTACATCTAAAATCATAATATATATACTACAATACTAAAACAACCATATATTAACACATATAATAACCTAGTCTATGAACCTAATACTACCTCAATATTGTAATAACTAATGCACTTCCAAAATATACCAATATAATAATATATCACCATACGATAATACACTACAACATCAACACCACAAAATATATCTATAAATAATATAATATATGTACTACTGAACTATCATGCAATACTATCATTATAATCAATATACTACTCATATAATACTACCCCAAGCCCCCTACCCACCCACCATAATATACACCTAACTATACACCCCCATAACTATATAAGATATACTAATATATATTATACCTATAAATATATATACATATAATAATCCACCCCGACCCCACCCAACACACCTCAATACTATCAAAACCCCAACCAAATACTAAATACACAACCATATAGAATATACCACACCACACACACCAAACCAACATACCCCTCTCACGTATATACCCGAAATAATGCATATAATATACTACTACATATACTACTCTACAACTAACACAACAATATAATATCATATAATATATATATATCATATATATTACATTATATATATATATATAAATACAACACAAAAAAACACAGAAAAAGAAAATAAAAGAATAAACAAACACCACAAAAACCAATACACCAATAAACACGCAGCAAAGCACCAACCTATCCCGCCCAAACACAAAAACACACCAACACACCCCTCCAGTCCCGAATAAACAACAACACCAACAACACAACAGCACACCAAGCACACACACACACAACTATATATATATAACATAATATAATAATATCAACAATATATTATACTAATATATATATAATATATATTAATATATCTATATATATACTAATACATATAACTACACGATATATATAATATACTACTACTATACACAACACACAACACACCACACACAACACACCAATCTATATATAATATATATATGCCATAACTAACATCATACAACACAACAAACACAACTATATAATACTATACATAATACATATACATTAATTAAATATTATAACAATAAAATATACATAATAATAAATATAATATAATAATAATAAATTAATAATATATATATAAATATATAATATAATACAACACATATATATACACATATAAATATAATATACACAAGCTATAATCATAACACAACTATACCCATATACAAAAACCAATAATAAATGACAATGTATAATATACAACACATTATATATACCAAACATTATATATAAACAACAAATTACACTAATAGCCTCACCGACAGCAATATATAAAACACACCCACACCACACCCCCACCCAACGACCACACAATCTATACCTAAAGTAACACTACCATATAATCCACCCTAGAACCACTAACTAACCGCCCCTCGCCACCTGATAAATATACTCATAATCACTAAATATAACACACAACAAACATCCTATAGATCAAACTATATATATGATAAACGACTACAATCACCCAATACACCAATCTCGCCTGTTCTCCACCCCAACACGAGTTACCAACGTTACACTATGAATCTATTAGTCCGTATTCTGCCACTGTACCTTGCCTTTTCCTTTACATTTATATACACTCCGTGCGTTGATAATAATCCGCAATCATCATTACTTATAGTCCAATAATTGGAAATATACCTCGTTTGCTCTTTTACAGGAGTGACCCATGTGTTGATGGACCATATGTGCAGCCCCCCTGGCAGTTGGAGTCAAGTTTTTGTCTCGCACACTTAGGTATTCCATTTCCTGCCTTCATTAACATATATACTGATAATAACTCTTTAACCTAATATATATGCATCTAAGACAATTCATAACTTAGTATCCCTTATCAGAGGGGCGGCACCAGACCCTTCAGTAGTCAAGATTGTGGCTGTTGACCTGCAGGCAATGGCTCCCTTGCCAGGCGTTGTGCAGATTCAAGGAGATATAACGAAGACCAGCACTTCAGAGGCAATCATTAGCCACTTTCAGGGTGACACAGCGCAGCTTGTCGTTTGTGATGGTGCGACTTGGTGTATGTGCCCTCGCAAGAATGGCTAAGCTTTTGACTGAAGTCTGTAGTTCATGTCAATAGCAAACATTATCAGGATGAAGAAACATATGAGAAGCAGTACTATGAATTTTTCATCTGGATATTTCTCTAACAAAAAATCCGACATCTGAAGTACCACCAACAATCATAAGTCCCATATTATCAGCGGTCATAACTTACATACGAACCACCGTCGGCCCCAACCCCACATGACAACCAAAGATGTGTGACCTGTAAATAGCTACAATTGCCTCCTTGTTTCGACACTCTACTCCAATCCAATCCATAATTTCATAAACAACAACATCGCACACACCTCATAAGACTCTATCCAGATCTAACTATGCAACCTCACACTGACAACACTTAGCACCACGCCACACAATGCCACACACATGCTCAACACATCCCACACCTGCTACCTACCTATCCGCATCCCACAAACATTAACTACTCATACACATCCACACACACCACAAACTCGATAGAGCACTCATTGCAAGAGACAACAAACCATCTTACAATGACTCAAGCCCAAAGCAAATCTACTATCGAAGGGTATCAAACAATACTACGTTCACTCTTCATCTCGTCATGCCTAACAGCTAACAAATATTTTCTTCAAGGCAAAGTTCAACTAAGTTGCTAAACCCATGCATCCATCAAGAGAACGTCCTAAAAGATGATGAGGGAAGAATAATCATGACTTATGAGTCTAAATAACATCTCACTGACAAGGTTTTGAAAAAATGAAATTATAGGAAACAACTTATAATTCGTAATAAGAATAATTTTCAGAACACAATTAAGACTGATATTTTATTAATAGAATTATAATAGAGATTTATTTATATTCGTCAAAATATATGTGCAAGTTCTGCAATTGATCGAAAACATAAATATCTGTAACTAACTTCTTGATGAACTATAATATTTTTTAAAGTTATAATTCATCGCAATCATTTAATAGTTATTAACTATATTTTTTTTCCTTACCTCTCACTTTTATCTCCTTGTGTAGAAAATCTTTGTTGTATCTGACCAAAGACTACAAGTCCGCAACAGAAGGGTTAACTTCCCAACAGATGGTGAACCCATACCTGACTATGACCTCATTAAACCAAAGTGATCGATGGCGAAGAGATCATCCAAAGGGCGACAAACCGAGCAGTCAACTAGTTCCCGTTTACCTTTGAGCTTCGTCACCGAAGCTGACCACATCGTCCTGCTATTAATAGCACTCTGATAAATAGACTTAATCCTTTTGCAAGTGATCGATCACCAGTATATCCTTAATTGAAAATAGAATCCTCTAACCAACAAGCACAGATTCGTGATATTACAAGGTGTTATAAAAAATGTAGCTTATTCATCATACACCGTTGATACTAATCCTTTTCGTTCATTACTAATATAAGACAGCATTTACATCATATCTGGTTCTAATCTCTCATCACCTCTCGCCTTATCAACGTGTAGAAAATACTGTGTACCTGTAACATTGTAGTATCTACTTACCAAAGTTTGTGGAAATATTTCATGGGATATCACTGCTTAATGATGATATATTATTATCTTATCTAACACAAGTTGAAGCAGTCCTATAACTCTAACACATTCATATAATAAAGATTACCTGGACCTACCCTATACACCCATTACCATACGTAACGCACACTGAATTTAGTCCTGTCAGACACACACGACAGCCAATTGCACACCAGATCTGCCATAACGAACAGACACACAATTAGCCAATCATGGGAGATAATCCTCCATCTGAGCACTAATGCGACAGCAAAACTTAGGGTCCTCATGGAGAAGGAGGAATACTTATATCATAGCAGATTAAAGTACTGGTATATACCGCAACATGATGCCCAGATCGTTTCGGTGTTGATCCCGCTACTTACGAGGTATAATCCTGAATGCACCATGATTTATAACTCAATATGGCATAAAGTATGCATTGCCAACCTTTTAGAATCGTACCAAGATCTACTTTCTAATTACTTCTTCAGATCCATAGTGTCTTCGGAATCGGACTTTGCAAGTAGTATGTTGAATATTAACTATTTCTTATACTTTCTAATAGCAAATCGCGGATGTATTTAGACTTTCTGACCAAATGCTTGTCATAATTTTTGATGAACTTTTCATTGTTACAATTTCCATTATATGTCTATTCGCTCTACTATTAAAATTGGTCTCTGTACCTTGCTTTGTTTTATTTTCTACTTAACAGGAATCCATTTCACATTAGAATCGTAGTCCACAAAATATCTTGGAACCAGATAATCACCACACTCCCAAATGCCAATGGACCCACCGAAATCAAAAAAAGGTTTCTTCATCCCCAAGCCCATTAATGATGGTAAAACCTACATGTACATACCTCCTCGCAACATACATCCGGCTAGAAGAAACCACAACCGCTCACCCATAAATTAATAAAACAATGTAGGAAAACACAAATTTTAAATAAGATAAAAAACAAAAAGATAGAAAAACCTCCAAAAAGAATGCCTAAATCCCACTTGAGCAACTAAAAATTAACAATCTGGGATGCACAACTGCAATAAAAAATCTAATACATGGAGAACGTAAAT